GCCGACGTCATCTAGGACTTTCACGTCCTCGTTTTCGATCTCTACTGTCTCTAGTTCTCGTATGCTGCAAGTAGATTTCATTGCTGCTATGGAGCAGTTCTTTGCCTGCAGCTGATCCCTTCTGACCTCCTCTATCCCATGCTCTATTAGGAACCGCAATAGCTGATGCAGTGTTGAGGGTACGGCCCCCATTGCATCCAGCCATGGCCTCCCCAGTATAGCATTGTAGGGGGATGGTGTATCAATTATGGTGAATTCTGTCTTCACCCTTTTGGTGCCAGCTTGCACCTCTAGGCTTGTTGCTCCCAGTGACCACATCGGCGTTCCATTGAACCCGACCATTGGGCTGTTGGACTACTCCATATTGTTTGGGTGAAGGCCAAGCTCCTTGTAACACTTGACATACATAATGTCACAAGAGTTACCTTGGTCGATTAGGATGCGCTTCACTTGGCACTCCCCAACTTGGAGGGATACTACCAAGGCGTTGTTATATGGATGCTGCACTATCTCAAGGTGGGCTTCAGTAAAGGACACTATTGGTCCCTAGCACTCCTCATCCCGAGGTCTTTTCTCTCGGACCTGGTACACGTGCTGCAAATGCTTTACCTTCTGGGTCTCCCCCCGCATTTTGTTCTCGTTGACCTTCGAGTAAATTACATTAATTACCCGAGGTCCGCCTACCTGCGGTTGCTATGCTGGGGAAGGTGGGGCTGTTGGTGCCTAAGGCAGTCTTGCCTGTTCTTCCCTTGTCCTGGCCTCATCTACAAGGTCCCTCAAATAGCCTTGCCTCACCAGGTCTTCTAGGTGTGACTTTAGGGCTCTGCAGCCTTGAATCAGATGCCCATCTTTATTATGGTAAGCACAACGCGTACCAAAGCCTTTTCCCATAAACTCTCCTAGTACCCTTGCTGGTGCTTTGAAATAAGGTTAGGTTCGGATTTTATCCAGGACTTTGTGAATTGGGATTCAGAATGCAGTTGTGATTGCCTGTGCAACCCTCAGTCCTATCTCTGGTTTGTTGTATCCACCATCACCTCGGCTTCACTTCAGCAAGCCGTTTTTCTTCTCTGGTTTTGGTGCCTTTGTTGCCGGCGTATCCTCCTCGGCTTGGCGTACTTCTCTATTCTGGCCATTAATTCCTCCATACTTTTTGGCAGTGTTTTTGCCAATGACTTTTGGAGCAGACAATTATCTTTTAGGCCGTTCTTAAATGATACGACCGTCACCTCTTGATTGCATTTTGGTATCCGGTTGAATACCTTATAGTACCTTTTGGCATAGGCCCTCAGGCTTTCGTCCTCGCCAATTTTTAGAGCCATCAGGGCATCCACCCTTAATGGCTGTCGTTTGTTCGTCACGAACCTGGCCACAAACATCTCGGCAAGGCCTTCCCAGGTCTACACACTTCCTTTTGGCAATTTGTGAAACTAATCCGATGCAATCTCCCCGAAGGATGAGAAGAACACCTTGCAAAGCAAGGGCTCGTTCCCAGTGTACAATGCCATCGAGTTCAGGTATAAACCGACGTGAAAGTTGGGGTCCAACTTACCATCGTATATTTGGAACCTCGGCATACTGAATCTTTCGGGGCCTCAAATTTGTCCAACTCCACTGAGAATGGTGTTCTCGGCTTAAAAGGGGAAGTTACCTCGGCATTTTGTTGCTTCCTCTTGAGGTAATCTCTCAAATCCTCTTTTGTTCGCCTAGGAGCTCGGCTATCTCCTGATTTCAGTCTTTTAGGTGCACTACTATAAGCTTCGTTGTGAGCCCTTTTCGACCTTTCTCCATTTGTTACAACGAAGCATAACTCCTGCCTTTGAACATTCCGATGTTCCCTGGGATTTGTTTCCTTGGTGTAGTGTGTCTTTCGAGATTCTTCCATTCTCAATTCTCCTCGCCCGACCTCCCTTGAAGGCCGGTGAGAGTGTTTTTCGCTCCTGGTGTGTTGGGGGACTACTGGGATTGTTTTCTGTCCTCCCTTCTGGGTATTGGCCGCTGGAATCGGCATGTCCTGCAGCGGGAATGGTGGCTACATGACGTTGTTTTGCATCATGAAATTGACGACCGATTGCAGGTCTGCCAATTTGTTGGCCATCCCCTTTATCTCCTTATCCCTCCGTAGGCATCTATCTTTCCATACTTGGAGGTTATCTTCGTTATAGTACTCGTTTCGGTCTGATTTCTTCTGTACGTCGCCCTCCTAGCCGACGTCCTTTCCTTCGTGATTCTTATCACAAGTATCTTTGTTACAGTTGTCTTCTTCGACATCAAGGTCAATAGGTCTTCCACTCCCAGTAGAGGTGTCGTCCCCAACCTTCTCTTTCTGTCCGTCGTTGGCCATCTATTCTCATTTCTTTCTCACAGACGGCGCCAAATTGTGTAAGTGAATTTCTGACCAAACTGCCAACTCAGTATTCAACTTGAGCGCACTGAAAGAATAGATGGCGCCTGAGTGACTTGTAACAAAAAAATGAGATTCCGGCGTGGTTCGTCCACTCAGGGGCACTCCAATGATCAAGTCAGTTATCTCCCAAAGATAAGTAAGTGCTTAACTCAGCTAATTCAGATATAAATTG